GTGTGTGTGTGTGTGCGTTTAGAGGGAGAGATTGGTTTTAAGGAACTGCATAACAGAATTTTGGAGATCATACTTTAAAAATTTAGAGGATAGGTAAACAGGCTGGAAATTTGAGTAAGAGGTGATAGTTTAGTTCCAGTGAGTATTTCTTCTTTTTCAGAAAACCTCAGTGTTTTCCCCTAAGGTTTGTTTGTGGCCCACTCATATTGCCAAAGGTCATTTGCTTTGCTCCGAGTCTGCTGCTATGACTTCATCACATCTAAAAGACACCTTTATACAGCAATATCCCAATTGGTGTTTAAATATCTGGGCATCATAGCATCAGCAGTCTGACACATAGATGTAAGCACCACATCAGTCCTTCCACCCCCTGGCCTTACTGATATGTCAGTTAACACAGCCTGGCTATGGCTAAGAACAAGGGTTTCCTTCCTTGGCCTTATTTGTCTCTGTAGTCACATTTTGGGCCCATCTTTGACTCATTCCTGCCCGTGGGAGAGGGCCAAGTCTGCCTGATTAGTAAATCCAGAAGATGTCACTGAGTATAGTGGGACAGGAGGAGAGGAATCCAAATGGGCCTGTAGGGTTCTGCTTGGGAACTGCCTGTAGATACAGGCTTTCTCCAGGCATATTGTCAGCTTAGTGGCCAGGCTTGATTCTTCACAGGTAGACCTGACGTTCTGAGGCTCTATTTGTGCTGGGGCTGGGGACATGGGATTAGTATGGCTGTTTAGGCACAACACAAATTTCCTCTGGAAAAGCTGACATTTGGATTTCTGTCTATTTTGAGTATTCCTCATTTAGTTCAATGATTTGAGGAGGAAGACAGATGTGATTGCTATCCTTAAATCTTTGTCAGCCTCCCTCTTCATAATATGCTCTAATTTGCCCATAACATCATAGGAATGGACAACTAAATGGAACCAATCTTCCCTTGGATCTCATATAGCAGAATGAAAGGAGGAGACCCCTCCCTCTACCTGTGACCTCCAGAATCACCAGTCAGTGCTATCCCTTCCAAGTTGTGTGACTTTGAACATACATCTAACCTCTGTTAGCCTTAGGCTCCTCATTCACAAAATAAGGCTTATATCATTTATTTTATAGAGATGCTGCAAAGGTTAAATTAATGATGTTATGAATATAAGGCATCTAATGAAAATTCCAGCAGGTACTAGCTGTTCAATAAACAGGTAGGAATCATAATCAATAAAAATCAATTTTTAGACATTTGTTGTAGTCTTGGCTCATTTTAAACTTTCAGACAAGTTCTCCTACAGTTTATACTTATTTAATAAACTTCTTAGCCCTCAGTGTCACTGTTACATTCCATCAGTTTCAAAGATGAACCATTTAGGTGTGCTGCCTACTGAATTTACCTTTCCAAATCACATAGCACCTGCATGTTACTTTACATTCTTTCTGATTCTTGTAAGTCACACTTATTATCTGATTTTGGCTTGCCCTCTCTAAATTTCTAGGGAAGTTTTCTTTCTACTAGCTACAAATCTACCTAAAATTATAATATTTTCTATATTTATTGTGTCCCTGATAATCACATGGGAGATTTTGTCACATTTAGGTTTTATTTTTTATTAAGGAAGCATTTATTGACCTTGCTCCTATGTAAAAGGCTCTGGACTGGGTTTAGGAGTTACCAAACAAAAGATATAGTCCCTGACCTCAAGGCTTCTAGATCAATGGGGTCATATGGTCACCAAAAAGTACGTACAACATGCCATGGCTAATATCACAATGGGAAACCAGGAGTGTCAGGTGCCAAGAGGACTAGAGTTCAGGACAGCCTTCCCAGAAAATAAGATAATGGAGTGCAATGTACAGGAAGAAGCTTTAGCCAAGCAAAGAAAGTAATGTCTTAATGTCAAAGAAATAATCCATCCAAAGGCACAGCATGAGGTAGAATACAGACAGCAAATGAGGGGAAGTGTCAAACTTCTTACGTCAGATGTAGGTTACCTAAGGGACAGCAGATACACCATAAAAGACCAGGAATGTCATGCAAATAGGAGTGTCTCACTCCACACTCAAGAAAGAGCAACTGAAGAATTTATGTTGGAGAATTTTTCACTGACATGAGTTAAATTCAAGAAGATCACTACAGCCTTGGGTGGGAGGAAAGAAATGCTCCTGTTGAAGAGGGTTCCTACCTCATAACTGAGAGTAAAATGATGCTAACGAAATCCATAGCATGAGACTTCTTTTTCTGAGTGCTGGATTTTAAAGATATCACAAAAGTAGGTGTTACAATGGTTTCCGAGTAAAACAAGTAACAGAGTCATGGACTTAGGTGTTAGGTGGAACCTCACAATGCCATTGGACCTGGCCTCTGCTTTGATGAGGGAACTGGTTGTACAGTTCACATGACACAGCAGGTGCCTGCTCAGCCCAGAGACTCCACCCATTGACTGGGTGGAAAAGGAGGAGAGTGTGGAGCAAAGAGTCATGGAACAGACCTGGTTTCTCACTACAGATTCCCAGAAAAGAAACCCTGCATTCCATTTCTTGATATACTACTGCTGGCTCCCTTCCAAAAATACTTTCCCCAATTTAAACAGTGCTTAATAAAATAATGCTTGGGAATGTAATGTTAGAGTGATTAGATCTTTGTGAACTCACCAAATCAATGATGAGTTTGATATAACCAGTACTATTTTTCTCTTATTGTCTGAAATATTTGTGATGAGTATTTTGTACATGATAAAAATAGCTCCTCATTTTAGGAAGCAAATATGATTCTGAGTCACAAGGGGTGATCAAAAAAGTACTTTGAATGTTTAAATTTTATCCTTTCATAATTTTTTTTGGTACCAGGAATCGAACTCAGGACCTTGCACTTGCCAAGCAGACACTGTGCCACTGAGCTTTATCACCAGCCCTGAATGCTTAAATTTTAAATCACTCTACAACATCTGATCTACGTTATCCTTCCTCTCCCCAATTTCATAAGCAATAGCTAAGGGATATAAACTTTAGTTACATACTACCAGTCTTGTCAACAATGGTCTTCCTCAGTAACATTTTTTATACTCTCTATTTTAAAATAATAGCAAAAATTTAAGAGGTTTACTTTCAGAACAGAAATAAATTGAGAGTTGCTCTTATTTCTTCATAGATTTCTACAGAGAATCAGGTTTAGTTTTTTGTTTTTTGTTTTTTGTTTTTTTCTTGCAACCGGGAATTGAACTCAGGACCTTGCACTTGCTAGGCAGGCACTGTGCCACTGAGCTACATCCCTGGCCTGAAAGGTCCGGTCTTGTGAAGTGTTTTGGCTAATTCTAGCATGTCAGGAAGCACAGACACTAATCTCCAAAGGAATCAGCCTTTGAGCTACGTTTGAGCCCCAGCATACAGTAGCATCCTACCTTATAAGGAGCAAGTCAAAGGAGATCACACTTGTCAGCTGAAGAGCAAGGAAAGTACTCTTGCTGCAGAGGGGGAAGTGAAGAGTCTAGGATATGAATGATGTGAAAGATGAAAGCTGTAAAGATCGGCAGATGTGTTTTCTTGTCAAGGAAAACAGGAGATAAGATGATGCATAACAATAGGTAAATGCTTTATTTCATTATTTAATAAACATTGCAGGTATTTATATAATATCTATGACATGCCAGTCATTCTCAGAACTTCACACCTACTAACTCATAGGTTACAGCAACTCTGTGCAATTGATTCTATTATTCTTCCTATTTTACAGATGAAAAAACTGAGACATGAAGAGGTAAGCAATTCATCCACCATCATACAATTAGAAACCGTAACTGAGGAAGTTGGCTATCAATGTGACGCCAAAAAGAATTGCTTTTAGCTTTATTTTGTTCTTGTAGATTTTATTAATAGCAAATTCAAACAGGACATTAGGTCATTTGTTTTATCTGCTGTCAGTTGAAGCAGGTTGTCCTTAAATCACACCTTGGGGGATTTTACTTTTAATTTCTTGATTGTGCTTTCCTGTAGTTAATATTATTTTCAAAAGTATGACTGAAAGATATAAAATAGTCATGAATACTGGCCTTTGTATAAACATCTGTTTAATTTAGGCAATGCAGATCAAATTAAGGCTGAAATCTCTTGCTTACAAAAATTTCATTTATTTTACATGTAAGAATTTGTTTCTGTTTGTGTTGAGCTCCAAGATTTACAAGTAGGCATATTTATTTGGTTTGGCCTAGGTCTAGTGTGTGTTGCTTGGTCTATACTTCCTAGTATATTGTAGCTCTTAATCTTCTATACATGCGAGCAGAGACTTCAGTGATCAAGGCATTGGAAAACTCTAAACAAACAATAAATTCTGGCTATGCAATTCTGTACCAATGCAATGCTTTATGTTTCGAAATGTGATGTTGTAATGATTAGATCTTTGTGAAGTCACCAAATTAGGCATTCCAGTGTTTGATATAACCAGTAATATTTTTATTGTCTGAAATATTTATGATGAGAAAGTTCTACAAGATAAAACAAAATACCTTATTTTGAGAAGCAAATCTTATTTAGAATCACAAGAGGTGATCAAATAATATTTTGAATGTTTAAATTTAAAAACATTTATAGTGAAATACAAATTGCCAAGAACAGTAGAATGAGTGCAATTTAAGCAAGGGAGAGTACTTCGAATATTTTGAGAAAATTAATTGAAATGCTTCTTTTACTGTAATCAATGTTTTTATTTAAATATTTACCACAGTTTTTGAACTCATTAGTCAAATGTTTACTGTAATTTCTGTCAAATAAAAACATTTCTGTGTTTCCTCATCTACCTTATTCACTGGATCTGGCACTGTGTGACTTCTGGCTATTTTATACAAAAGTAAAACTAACTATGAAAGGTAAACTTTTGAATCCATTCAGGATTCAAGACAGCCATGACAGCACAACTTAAGACACTCAGAAAAGAGGACATCCAGAACTGCTTCAGAAAGTGGCAAGAACGATGGGATAAATGTGTTCAAAGCAAGGAGAAATGGATATTTTGAGGAGAATTAATGGCAATGTCTTTTATTTGAATAATTTTTTAATTTAAAAGTTCAGCATATTTTATCATATTTCAAATAAAGCTAGAAACCATGATGTTTTTCTCCAAATCCTAAAAGCTTTAATTGCCAGCTTCTCTTTTTCATTTCCACTTTTGAAGTTCAGAAAGCCAATTCCAGACTGTTTTCCTTGTGTTCACTGGACATCCTCACAGAAAGCATTCTTGAATTTCTACTTGACAGCTCTGTCAGTCAGTGCTGACTAGCAAAATGGATTTAATGCAAGATATATAGTACGTCAGGATTTATAAGACAGGAGCGGAGTGCAAAGGGGCTCTCTTCTGCACTGGAGACCCATGGGATGCAGTCAAAGGTTGAAGGCCTGGAGCTCAGCATCCCAGGTCAATCCATATCAGGAGCCCCAAGGGCCTGCACAGGGTGACTGAAAAGTCTGTGCTGGAAGTCAGGAGACAATGTCCAAGGTGAAAGTGAAGACTGGAGCTCCTCTAAAGAGACAGAAGTGATCCTGTTTCCTTCTTTGTTTGTCTTTCTCCCCTTCAGGCAGCAAGCCTATTGGTTGCTGTCATTCACACCGAGGCCGGGTCTCTGTCTTCAGTAAATCCCTTCAGCCACACCCAGAAGTACGCTGACATAATTTACTTGGGCGTTTCTTACTCAAGTTGACACAGTCAGTTAACTATGACAACACCAGACCTGGAGTACTCAGGTGACCTGTGTTCTCCATCCTTGACGTCATTTGCCTTCTTTGACATCTGGTACCAAGAGCAGCAGGACGGTAACATTTCAAATTGACAATAGTCTCAACTAATGTAAAACTTGACTTTATCTTATTTCTGCACTCAGGGATTTTCTCTTTTCCATGTATTGTCAGTACAGCTGAGTCACTTGACATGTGTTCATTAAGCACCTATTATATTCTAAGGACTGAAGAAAGGAGGACAAGCCAGAAAGATAGAACTGATCGACTAGAAGGAAAGGTACCATAACAACAAAATATGAAAGATAAAAGCACAAGATGCGGAGGAAAGGCACAAAGAGAATATAAGCATCAGAAAAAAGGCACCAATCTGTCGAAGCAGGTCTTGGTTGGTGGCACTTTGGTTAATTCTTTCCAGTTAAATACTCAATTTCAAGATTTTTTCCAACTTTCACTTAATGAACAAGAATATATTCACAAGCATATTCTTAAAATACATTTTAGTGCCATCTGACTTTTCCTTCCCCAATTTCATGAGCGTCTACTATAGAACGTAAACTTTTACTCACATAAAATTTTAGAATTTACTCTTCGATTCAGCAGCTTTAATGGAACAAAATAAATAAATAACCTATGTTCGTTTCTGTAAATCAATAAGATTGGTCAGTGACAGAAAGACCATGGTTATTTCCAAAGACGAAGATGATTTGGAAGAAAGCCAATCAGAAAGCACAACCAACACCTATACAGGTGCTCTATTTTGGGGGTTTATTTCATAGGTTTCTCCCCTAGTCGGAAGGTTAAAGTTCACGGTCCTCATTTCTTTGTAGTCCTAAAAACAAATTAAGACTAGCTTCTTCAAGTGCTATATACATTTTCCTGACAGTAAAAGTAATAACACACATATAGTAGAGAAATCTTTAAAAAGATCAGAAAAAGTTTAAAGACAACAAATTCCTACATAATCCCACAACTGAAAAGATGAAAAAATGTCCACATCCACTTTCAAGTCACTGTACACTATTCTTACAGGGTGTTCTGATCTTTTTACTAAGCCTTATGCCTAGAGTCTTTCATTATGTTTTTTTTTTTTCAAAAAGTTTTCATGACTTTTTAATACTCTAATGAGAAAATGTCTGACTTAACTATTCTCTTAGTTCTGTGTGTTTACATAGATTCTATTTTGTACTATTGCGTTATAATAAATGTCTTTTTTAGAAACACATATTCAGACATCAAAAGGACTCATAATTACAAATCGATTTTAAAATTTGAAGACATTTAACACATTTCTGACAGTTATCAATCACAAATTATACTTGTGGCTTTTTTTACAATTTTTACCAACTAAATTACAAATATGTTTATGGTGCTATTTTTACATGACCAATTGAGTAATACCTAGATTCGTTGGTGCAGCAACATTTTATGATATTTATTTTCCATATATCTAATATCCTATGCAAATTATTTAAGGAAACTTGGAAGTTGTCACCTCTTTTAAAGCATGTGTATTAGTTATCTTTGTTGCATGACAAGTTTTCCCATACCTGAGCTTAAAACAATGAAAATTTTTCATCCCACTCAGTTTGTATGGGTCTGTTACCCAGGTGTTGCCCAGTTGAGCTTTTAGTAGAGCTGCAGCCACTCCTGGCCCCAGAGCTGGACTGCTGGTAGGCTATAGCTCCTCATGGCTGTGGGCTGGAGGCCCGTTTCTCACTTTTATGGGCCTCTGTGGAGAACTGCTCGCAATATGGCAGCTGCTTCCTCCAGTGTGAGAGATGCAAAGGAGACAGAAAGAGAGAAGATGTTGGAAACAGAAAAAATAGTTTTTTTGTAACATAATCATGCCATTGCTTTCAGTTTATCCTGTTAATCACAGGGCCCAGTTTTGGCACAATTTGAGAGAGGAACACACAATAGTGTAAAATCTAACAGAAGGGATTTAGATATTATATTAAAACTATAAAATCTTGGAGACTATCACATATTGTAACTTTTTTATTTTAAGGATAATTTAAAAAACAATAAAAATGATACAGAATTTCAAAACAAGATGATAGGAAATTAACAACGGTTATTGTATTGCAAATTGTTATCTTCAAAGTAGTTGTTCAGATTACTAGATATAGGCATGTAAGAGTAATCAAACAATATAAACACTAACTGTTCCTTTCAGTGAACGAATAGAAATTAGTAGTACAATTATCTTAGCTATCTTGTATATGCATACATACATATCTATTCCTTCCTTCTTTTCTTGTTTCCCCTATCCCAGTTGTCCTTCCCTTTTGAGCAGTTTCTTTTCCTTTCACTATCTACTGTACCTTCTGTATCTTAAGATGAAGACCCAAAATATATACATAATAATCTTCTGTCAAAAAGTTCTTCAGAGGGGGCTGGGGATTTAGCTCAGCGGCAAAGCGCCTGCCTGGCAAGCGCAAGGTCGTGAGTTCGGTTCCCAGTACCGGAGAAAAACCAAAAAAAAAAAGTGAACGAGAAACAAAGACTTTCTCAAACAAAAATTGATGGAATTTGTCAATACATGTACTTTGCAAGAACCATAAAAAGAAATTCTACAGGAAAAAGAAAAT